GACTCCTAGTGGCATCGTTGTCCATCACCACAAAAAATGTAACTAAGACGTTGAAATTATCTTTTTGCTCAATTTTTTTTATCATTCATGCACATGTTATCACATGTTATATTTTTTATTGAAAAAATTGATAGTTGAAGTTAAATATTTCACTTTAATAATTATAGAAATTTTAATATAATTTTTTTAAATATAAGGATCAGGATATTAAAAAAATCTAATTACAGGAGTAATATATAATTAGCTCTCTCGTAACAGACTATATCTCTAATAGATGCTTATTGGACTCCACGTGTCGAGTCCAAAATATGATCATATCACTTATCGAGAATGGTCTGCCTTTCTTAGAAAAATATTAAATCGTCTTTATTGAATGAAACATATATGATGTGTTTAGGATATATTTATAATTTTTAATATACAAATTTTTTTTGAATAAATATGTAGTTGTGGATTACTCCAAGTGTTTGATAAATAATTGATGAAAACTATATTTTAAATATGAATTGACATAAGTTTTGTTTGATAAAATTATATTTCAAATGTTCATCGAATATTTTATGATAACTAAAATTATATTTCAAAAGTCATTAAATATTATATGATAAATTTAACCTTGTAATATTTTTAATATTTATTTTTTAAAATATATATTTTTAAAATAAAATAAAATATATAATCTTATACAAAATTTATATGGCTCAAATAAAAAATATAATCGTATAAATAAATATAAAATAATATTTAAAAATAAATAAATAAAATTTGACCTTATAGAAAATACAAATCATATTGATTTCTCACTAAATCATTTTGGTAATCTTGTAATTTTAGATAAAATACAAGAAACATTCAAATTTTTAAAAATTATATTAGAATGCTATAAATACTGAAATAATAATGTTACCCTGAGATATTATCAGCATTTAAGCATTTTCAATGCATCATCTAAGCTAGATGAAATTTAAAAAAATATATATTAAATAACAATTCATATTTAAAATATGCATTGGACTCTTGATGCACATCTTAAATGTATTTCCAAATGTACCCTTATACTTAATAAGTTATTAGCTAAATCACATATGTGGCTTGACATTGTTGTTTCTTATTCATTGTGTTCACATAATTTCTCTTAATTCAAATACTTCAAATAAACGTTCTCTTAATTCACAAAGGAAAAAAAAAAACTCTACACCAACATTCCACTTATCTTATGTTGAGAGTTTAGAATCTTATCTCATAAGACTAGCTTGATGGTGATGTACTAAATTTATATTAGATCCACTTAAATATTAAGGATTTGGAATCTAATCAAACAAATTTAAATATGTCAGCGTATCTAGTAAAGATCTCGACTATTGAGTAGTAAAGTATCAGATCGAACCCCATCCTTATCACTTAGTACTGCTTAAAACATATGATGAACCCAGAGGATCTACAGGAGATCCTACTTCCTCATGAGCACGGAATAACTTCTATATGATCTCTTCCTGATACATGCTGCCTGCTGTAGTATTACATGCGAACTTGTGTGTCTGTTTAACTGGCTCTTATCGATGAAGATGGAAGAAGAAGAAGAAGAAGAAGAAGAAGACGTAGGTAGGATTTTGACCTTTTGGTTTGAGGAGCTGAGAACAACTCACTAAAACCCAATCGTGAGTGCCAACCTACTCCAAATAATTCCAGCTCTTCGATCTCAACCGCATGCAACACTAAAATACACGCAGTCACTTCTCCGCTGAAACCCACCCTTTGCATTGTTTATGTCACATTGCGTTCCCTCGGTACTATACACGACAGACAATAATCCAAGGGAGAGAGGGAGGGAGTAGACATCCACTTGTGCTCCGCGTCCGAATCTATCACAACCTCCGTCGTCATATATACTGTCTCCTCCAACCAGGCGGAGGAACGGTGGGCGCCGCACGGCCCGTCACCTCTCCTGCAAGTTTGCCTTCTCTCTCCTAAATGATTTGGAAGTCAAACAAGCCACATGATCCGTCAAACTCAATGGATTAGGATCCTTGGATGACTTTATGGTCATCCAAAAGTCTAAAACCAAGAGCTTCTATCTAGAATTGGTTCAAGATCTTTTGGGCGGTAAGATACGATGCATTCTTATATTCATATATTGGATGATGAAGAAGAGACTCCATTAGTTTGGATTTGCTTCTCACCTACTTTGGACAAAAGTTCCGACAAAAGAACGGGCCCATCACGTTCTATTTTCTTGGTTGATATGTCAGCCCATGCAAGATAAGGCACCATCCATCAATCTCGTCAATCTTATTCTAATTCAATGTATGCTTTAAAGGTGATCGAAGAAGCTTTGACTTACCACCTGTGGGTTTGGCTGCATGAGGTCATGATGAAGAGCAGATTCATGCCAACTCGATGCTGGGCTGGACTGTCGGAGAAGTCCATGAGATTGGAAGTAGCTGTTGATGATTCAAAGTTCATTGTACTTAACCACCTGTTATGGAGAAGTGGATCATTTAAAGATCTCTTCTCCATTTTTAATGGAGTATAATTGTCTCTTAGTTCAGTGTGACAAAAGTCTCCATCTACAGCATTGCCACACATTTGTATCAGACTTCCATTACATCTGATGTCCCCAAGCATTGATATAATTGTCCAATGTAGAAGTTCTCGGTTATAACCCACATCTTAGTCTTTAGCTCTTTAACATGTCAATATATACATTATTCTCAGCATATGACTTGGTATCAATATGTTTATGAGAGTTGTTATTTCCAAAGGGTCGTTAAAAGAAATATCACTAGCTATTACCTATGTAGACTTGAGTCCAAAACAAACAATTATGTTTTGCCTTTTTTTTCTTATGTCTTAGGTAGACAAAAGGATAAATAAAACTTATTAGAGGTAGTTAAGAGCTATCTTCCCATAAAATATTTTACTTATTTACTATCAGGTATAAAATCTCACTTTTAGCATAGTTACTAGGAAAATAACTTTTTATCACTTATTACTATAGTCACATACCTCATGTTAATAACTTGAGTATTGAAAAGACATCGATCTTCATATATGTGATACCTTTGGGAGCTTGACATTTTTATCTCGGAGGCACCACGATCATATCTTCAATAACCCCTCACACATAGGTCGAAATAATGTCGAACTGACTAGGGTATCAATGACATATTTTTATAATATTTTAGCACCAAGGCTAGATGTGACAAGAACACTCGTCCATTGATCCTATCAATGAATGCTCGAGCGAAAAAAATTTTATCCTTAACTCATAATACTTTTACTCAAGGGGAGTCATTATCACTATTTTCGTACATCAATGTATCCATCGTGTTAGGCATCACATCCATGGTGGAGTTCTCTTCCCCCCTCTCACACATAGCTCACTGCATCAGGTACCACCCTGCCTCCTTCCTGAGGTGTTATGCTCCCTTGATTGAGTAGTAAAATTAGACGAGAGCATGCTTCTTTAACACGAGAGGCTCAAAATCTAAGAGGCTACGAGGCCTTACGGTTACCTCAATAGCAAGGTGGAGATGGGTGGTGGTGAGAGGCACACTGTACAATGGGGCAGAGGCATGAGGTGCATTGCACGATAAGGCAATGAGGTGAAGACAATAACCGATGAGGTGGAAGTCATGGTTGATCTTATCTTTTAGAAAATAAAAAACACTACATAAGAATAAATAAAAAAAAAATGCTCTTTCACTAAAACCAAAATAAAGGTAAAAACTTATGATTTTTTTAAAGAATTTATCCTTATTTTATGTCTCACACATCATCACTATACATATACCCTACTAATAGATTCATATTCTTGATTAAAATTTATACTATGAGATTGTAAACTCACAAATTTTACTTGACCTAATTACCAAGGATTGCTGGTTAAAAAGTTATGATGAGCACAAAAGCCAATTATTATGTTGCCTTTTATTTATTTATTTATTATATTTTAAATTTAAAAAATATATAATTAATTAAAAATTAAGTTTGCCACCTAAAGGGTGGGTTAAATTGAACTCTAATGGATCGTGATTGTATCTTTTTTTTTGGCTAGATGCAAGTCTTCTCTAAATCGAAGTGCTCTCTATTATGAGGCCATCCATGGTTGTGGCGGAATGAATCGAGGACTACCCTTTAGCATTGATTTGGGGCTAACTATATATTATCCTATGTAATTAACTATCTTTAGTATTCTAGTCTCTATACTTTAAAAACTTATATTAACACCCTTATTGTTACGAAATTAAAATATTTAGATCCATTTACCCTAACGATATAATTTTCCTAACGAAGACATGAAAATAAAATATAATAAGGTATTTTTAACGTTTTAGTTAATGGTGGAGGACGACAATATTGTTGGGAACCGTGGGTGGTTGTTGTGGATGAAAAGAGTGACGACGAGAGGTGAGGGTGATTATGCATCTGTATCGATGTCGACGTAGTTGTCGAGTGGCCCTTTCATCGCTCGATAATTGCATCGACTCGCTTTGCATATGCGTCGGCATTAATGCGACGTAATTGTCGAGCGACATTGCTTTGTATATGTGTTAGTGCTAATGCATATGCCAAGTAACCCTTTCATCACTCGATAATTGCATCAATGTTAACGTAGATACAAAGCGACGAAGGGGCTACTCGACAACTATGTTAGCGTCATGCAGAACGATCCTCACCTCTCATCCTCGTTCTCTTTATCTATAATAACCACTCACGACCCCAGCAAAATCGTCATACACCACCATCGACTAACACTTTAAGATATTTTTTTTTTACTCCGTTAATAAAATCGATGACGTTAATATAAATAGACTTAGATATTTTAATTTCATAATTATAAGAATGATAATATAATTTTTAAAAATATAAAGATCAGGGATAATATGTAATTATATGAATTAGCCGTGAGAGCTGTTTCGTTCCTTTTTTAAGTGATACTTACTTCTTTTGAAAAAAAAATTAATAATTAGGGACTCAGGAAAATTAATACTACTTGTCGTCGTCGTCGCCGTTGTGCTCATTTATGGAGTGAACCGAAGGAGGGGCGAATCCAACCGGTGGTGCTTTAGAAGCCCAAGAAAATCCCCATTTCTGGGACTCCCGCTCCGACCAACTGCTCCCCGAAGATCCTTTTGTCACAGGTTGAGTTCATTGCCCACTTCATTGTCAATCTCGCTCGATTCGATACGGTTCCTCTTATTGTTATTCTTCGGCTTCTTTTTCCTTCCGATTTCTCCATGGTTTTTTCTCTTCTTTGATTTGCTTGTTTAGCCTCTGATGTCGGAGAGAATGATAACCGGAGTTTGCAAGGAAGCTTTTTTCTTCTTCCCTTTTCTTTTGTGAGGAAAACGCATATCAGACACGAACTCTTACCTCCAAGATTATTGGGGGTGCGTTAACAACAGATCCTTTTGGCATTTAGGCTAATTTCTCGAACATGATCCGGATGCGGTCAGGTTACCTAGTGCATGTGGCCCATGGTGATCCTAAGATCGCAGCTGTAGCTGTGTCCTGTGTGAGGTTTCAAATCTTGTTGGAGGTGAAGATTTGAGTATGGAAGAAGTTGCTTATAGGAAGAGGTGGATCAATCCCATCCATGAACAAGTTTGAGCGTCCCAATGAAACGAAACCTCACATTTTCTTTCTATCTCGTTTCGGCATTCGTTCTGCTAAAGTTCTAGACTTTGCAGCTTCAGTCAATTTTTCCTTTCAAGGCATAATTTTGATTACCTTCTCTTTTGGTATATGAAAGTACAAGCAAATGTTCGGCACATGGAAGCAGTTGGAAGGAAGGGAATAAACTCAAAGTTGACCTTCATATGATCATTTATTTTGTATGATAAGTTTGATGATATAATCTTGCACAAAATATAGTTGTCTTTGCTTGAATGTCCAGACTAGTTCAGATTTTGAGTCTTGTGTTCCATCATTTTTTTTCCTTTTGATTAGCACCCATCCTTCCACTCTATGCCGATTTATGGTAATTTGGCACTGTCTTGGTCTGTTGCATCTAATTGGATTTCCTCCATTCGAGTATCAGGTGCTTATTTGAAGCAAGACATCATAATTAAACTTAGCTGCTTCTGCTTGCTGAGGTTCGATGGGCTGTATGTCTTCTAAGCATGAAGCCAAACACACACCAGGGTATGAAGATCCCGTTATACTTGCTTCTGAAACGGCTTGTGAGTATCTACCATTTCTCTTTTTTCTCCTTTTGTTCTTCCCTAAACTTTTCTGTAATTTATTATTCTTTTGTAATATTTCACACTAACGTTCTGGAAATGCTTGGACACTACTGTTCTGTATTTTTATAATGTGCGAGTACAAGTTCTAGTTTGCCTTCTCAACCATTATAGCATTTTGGAGATACTGTAATGAAACCCATGGACTCAGCTCCATTTTTTATTCAAAACTCCTTTTTGATACATGATGTTGATGTACTTGAATTTTCATGGCCATGTCAACCCACTTGACGTTTTGCTTATACTTGTACTCAAATGTTCCAGTATTTTATTATATGCTCAAATTTCTTATCAGCTACATATGCAGCGGATTCAATTTATTAAGAGCTTTTGGTATGTTGACTATGCATATGTTGCCAAAATGATCATCTCTTTGTATTGCATGGCAGTCACTGTAAATGAAGTAGAAACACTCTATGAGCTATTTAAAAAGTTGAGCTGTTCAATAATCAAAGATTGGCTTATCCACAAGGTATTTACTAATGCTTAGCAATTTTACTACCATACAATACCCCCTCTTCTTTTTTCTTTTTTTTTTTGTATATTACCCTTAGATCATCTCATTGAGCAGGAAGAATTCCAGCTTGCTTTGTTCAGGAACAGCAACAGGAAGAATCTCTTTGCTGACAGGGTCAGTATGATGGTTTATAATTGAGACTTGTTTACTCACTTTAGTTTTCTATCCAATGACTTTGTTAACAATTGGTTTCTATTTATCTGATTGGATCTACTGCTTTACGATTTATCCGTCTTTTTTCATTTTGTCACAAGGACATGACTGTTTTTTGTACTGACAAACTTAATAGAAGTGCTTCTCAAAAATAAAGGTGATTCATAGTTGAAATATGATCTGTCATATTTTAAATTATTTGCAGGTGTTTGATTTGTTTGACATAAAAAACAATGGGGTTATTGAGTTTGGAGAATTTGTTCGATCACTTAGCATCTTTCACCCAAATGCTCCCAAAGCAGAGAAAATTGCATGTACGAAATTCTTTGTATCGTGCCTTACTTTTCTAGTAGTCTTGTCTTCAAAGTGAAATAGATTAGCTAGTGATAGTTCTCAAAATTGGATTTAGCCAGCCTAGTTTTTGTTAGTAATTGCTTAATTGATGCAATTTCAAATATAGCTTATGCCTCAATAGATTTCTTTTTTAACCCTGCAGTTGCATTTAAATTGTATGATTTACGGCAAATGGGCTACATAGGACGTGAGGAGGTGAGTGTCATTTCTTGTTTCTCTTAGATTCTGTTTGTTATCCTATGATATCACAGAACACTTGGACAATACTGGTATCATTTTCCATGTGTATCAAACTTTTAGATATTTTCATTTTGTTAGCAAACCTTATATCGTGAAACTTCACTAAGGTTTAGAACTTCAATAAAGTTACCAAACAAAGAAGCAATCATAGAATATTGAAAAATGGTTAAAGCTATCTAAGACACTGCATATTATATGTATTGTTTGTACAACGTGCTCAAGTACTACTATGTTTTCTGATTTTAATCATTGTAGATGTTGCTTTTGCACAAAGTATAACGGCTTACAGAGCACTATATTTGACATTCATGTGCATGTGCATCTACATTCTTCCTAAATTTGTCTGATTGATCTTGAGTTACCCAACATAGCCTATTTTTAACTTAGAAGAAATACACATGAAGTATCTACATCTGTTTTTATTCATATAGTGGTACTTCCCATTTTTTAAAAGAATTTGGTATAAAGAATTATAAATGATTTTCAGGCTAAAATTCTGGTGTGTCTCAAACGAAGACTACAGTATGATAATTAAGTACCATCTGAAAGTTTGATGATTTCCATAGGTATCACAACTCAGACTGCTTCTAATAGGTGCGTCTTAGACTAAGACAGACACCAAACTGGATAAGAAGTATTACAATTCTGCTTTAATATGTGGCCTTCGAGAAGGATACAACTTCGTATATTACATCATGCTGTCATCTATCTTGATCTGGTTCTTCTACAGGATTCTGTAAAGGGGTTAGGTCTGTTCAGGATCTCAAACTGCATAATAAACAAGGTGGACAGTCCTACCTGAGCAATTGGTCCTTGGGTACGGCCATAGGGTGTATTTTTCTTGACTTATGTCTACTGAGTGAATGTCAAAGCTAGAACATTGGTTGATTATCACAAACTCTAGTAATTTGATATGCAAGGTTTTCAATTTTGAGTACTGGCCGAGTGCCAGTCCATGGTTGGACCAGTATGGATCTGGTCCATTCCTACATACTGACATAATATCATAGACTTAACTGGTTTTGGTTGGGTTGTGTGCACTCCTATGACACCTGCTCACAAAAGAGCAATTTTCCCATAACCTCAGACAGTCCCCTGAAGATCTGCATACAAAGAAATGGTTTAGTAATGAGCAAATGTCGGGCAAACTGCCACCGCACTCTATCTAGGTGTAACTCGGTATGACATAAGCATAACTCAACAAAACACTTAATTAGCAATTGAAAATTGACACACTTTGCTCGTTTGGGATGATCATGTGACTAAGGTTTCAAGGCTAGTTCGTCACTCACAAAGTCCCCACTCACAATTGCATATCAACTACAAGGCCATGAAACAATCAAATTCTGGATGCTACACAAAGCCCCATCCAGTCCTAAGTCATCTAAGGGTTTGGTTTTAAGGTGCTTTGATGATTGAGGATTTTTCTTCCACATGTGGAGATGTTTTTGCGGGCTAGAGGCAGTTTTGCCTCCACGTGATGATCATTCATGTACTCCACTTTTAAGATAAAACGACTACATGACTTAACTAAAATTCGGCTACGAAGCCTACTACAAGCTTTGTTACATGTTGCTTTAAGCATGCACAAACTGAAAAGACTGATAGTTATGCAGACGAGCCTTTGTGCATTGTGGGCCTGTGCAAACAGTCCGTGACAACATGGTACTCTGGGATGTACCACAGTACAAAGAAAGGAGGTGGTTGGGAAAGGGGAAGAGTGGAGAAGGAGAATAAGTAGAAAAGGAGGACAAGGTGGCAGTAGTGACAGAGGAGAGTAGCACAGGAAGGCTGAGGAGAACCAGAGGCAGCAGGCAAGGGCCGAAAGTAGTAGGTGGTGCAAAAAGCCATGGTGTGAGTGCAGGGAACTGCATGAGGAGGAGAGAGATACGTACAAGAGGGTGAGCTGGTTGGTCTACATGCTAAATTACGAAGAAAAGAGTTGGTCTTACCACCCAGTTTACAGGACTTACCAAATGATAAGCACTGTTTTGAAGTGGACCCTCCAGTTTAGGGTGGTCCACGTGCCACTAACCTAGCATACTGATACTTAGAACTATGTTGATATATAAGCATTCTAACAATGGCTTTTGAGATGTGACAAGATGCCGGTTGACAAATTTGAGTTTATTTCATAATTGCTATATAAGCTCCATCACTTGAAGAGCCAATTTATATTATTCTACTACATACTTTATATACCATAGGTTTTGAATTTATTGGCTTATCCTATTTTAAGAGTAATGTGTAATGCTTGTTTGTTGGACTATGCCTTGTATACTGAGAATAAACCTGTATGGATAATTTATTTTGAATGTTGTCATGCTTTATCTCATTTGAGAATAATATTCTTCTTTTTGGTTGATTTTAACAGTTGAAAGAGATGGTATTGGCTCTTCTCAATGAATCTGATGTGGTTCTTTCAGATGATATTGTCCAGACAATCGTGGATACTGTGAGATTGAAACTTCTTAATGAAGATTGTTTAATATTTATTACATCATTTATTGTTGTAACTTTCTTTTGTCAAAATCCTATTCTTATGTCCATCTCTTGCAGACTTTCGTTCAGGCCGATTTAAATGGCGATGGGAAGATAGATCTAGATGAATGGAGGGAATTTGTTAAAAAAAATCCATCATTGATCAGAAATATGACACTTCCATACTTGAAGTCTTGAACTGAAGTTTTACACTTGCAGCATTTCATTTGTCTTCTAATCTGTCTTAACAGTATTTGGTTAGAATTTTCTCATTATGTGATGTATGGTAGGTTTAATGTTTTTCCATTAAGATTTAAATGCTGCCAATGAGCAAATTATTAATCAAAATCTGATATTGTCTTCTAATCTGTCTTAACATTATTTGGTTAGAATTTTCTCATCATGTGATGT